GGTCCTTCCCACAATGCCAACCTGACGAACAGGAAAGTCAAAGACTAGAAGTCATGATCATCATCCATTATTCACACAGAGAAAGACTGCAGCCTTAAGTGCACCGAGATCTCTCACCTTCTCATTGGGGTGGAAGGTGGCGCTGATATCTTGGAGGACCAGCGGTCCATCGTCGCTGTAGGAGAAGTTCACCCGGTTGAAGCTCACCGCTCCTTGACCCGGCCAATCAGGAGGAGGACACGTCTGTGTTTTCCAGGGTGCTTCACTCTTCAGCTCCGTATACTCCACCACCCTCTCCACTGACGTCATCTGAAGAGACAAGAGGTTATATCCAAGCAGCTAACCATGCTTCCTAGTTTCCTCACTCCTGAAGTCACTCAGCTCTTACCATGTTCTCCACCTCCGCACTTTGCCTCATCGTCCACTGGAAGTTTCCAACCAGCGTCACAGCATAGGTCAGCACCAGGCCGACCTCTCCAGCCTCAAGCCCTAAGAAACACACAGACACATGACACTGAACAAACAACCCTCTTACAGTATGCAAACAGGTTTCTGTCGGGGTGAAGACATGGCTTTATGATCAATGTAACCAGGAGTGAGCGTGAGGCACAACTATGCTTTGTGCCCCTAAAGCAGTTTATTTTAAATTAACTGTGCAGAAGGGTTCTTAAATAAAAGCATATAGAAGATGGTCTAGACTGGAGTTACAGTGGTAAGAATGCGCTGATCTGTAAAGCTCTGTTGTACGATGGATGAACTCACTATCTCTCAGCAGGATGCAGCCAAACGTTGCAAAGGTGATGAATATGGAGGAAATGCTGTCGAGGCGTAATGCAAACCATCGGGACGTCATCAGGAACAAAAACCACGCCTCTGACATGAAAAAGAACATTTAATTTAGTGAAGATGATCTTATTCAGAGACTGACTACAAGGGATAATAATTAACTATAAATAAGGTTGGAAAGGACAACCTGAGTGCAGGTCCTGATGTGCATCAAAGGCTTTCTTTAACCTCTCCTCGGCTCTGAGGGCTCGGATCGTCCACAGGCCCTGAAGAGACGAAGACAGATGGGAGAACACTGGACTTCGAGCTGCAGGAAAGATAACAGAGATGAGGTGAAAACGATCCTATTACAACTATTTTTAATGTCAAAACTCACTCACCACGTGACCAAAAGCCCTTATACACACACGGTATAACTATGATAAGAATGCATGAACATACTTGTAGACTCGAGACGTTTGACATCTCGTGATGTACAGAGGTAGAAACGCCTCAAGTACAGGAAGAAAAAAAGCAGAGGAACGACAGGGATGAGGATGAGAGGGATGACTGAGGCAGACACCGCAACCACACCGACGTTCTGTAAAAATAACTGAGAAAACAAACAAACATCACACTGTGAGGAATACTGAGGAAGTTAGGGTTTGAAAGTGGAGAACAAACAGTTCAGTGCAGTCGTCTTAATGAGACGGTTATCGCTACTCACTTGATAGAAGTCCACAAAGGTGATGGGTAACGTCGAGTCTATCTGGCTGATGTCTCTGGAAAACCTGTTGAGAATCCTTCCTAAAAAGCAGGAAAATGCAAAGGCACTAGGAAAAACATTTGCTTTTTATTTTTACCAGAAAGTCCTTGTGTGCAGAGGTTTTACCTACAATGATGTAACTGAGTGATACGAACAATGAGTAAAAAGCTCTGACCAGCCTGGACAAATAAACCTAAACATTAGCTCACTGGATTTTTAGTAGTTATATAGTAGTATTGTCTGTGTTGGTATCACAGCCTCTATGCTTTGTTTACAAATTGTTTACAGATCTGGTCACACATACAGGTTAATGTCTAGTGTATAACTGAGTAGAGCGACTGAAATTGCTGCTCTACGTCGGTGAACTAAGGATTTATTTCAACCAGCCAGAGTTGGTCATTGTTGCAACAATCCAATTGCAAAAACTCTGCAACTTTGTTTCCATACTGAATGATGTTACAATGATCTGTGAGCTAAAATTACTGGTTTTGTCTATGTAGTCTGGTGGCAAGCAAAAATGATATTACAGCTGTTTCTGGTTAAACAAAAAGGTCTGTCTCTGTAGGGATCCTTTCTATAATGTTGTCAGACACTTAGAATAATAATCTGTTCACACTGAGGTCACATTGCAAAGTATCAGACCTATATCTGTTTTGGACCACATATAAAAAGTGGCCCAAATCAGAAATGAAATCATCAGATTCCATGTCATTTGTGCTGCTCACACTGTATAATAATAATAAAAAAATCCAATTTGGGTCACTTTTGGTCCGCCTTGTTTGAAGTGCGTCTTAAAATGACTAATTCTTTCAATGGAGTCTGGTGGGCCTGAGCCCATATGTTTTGGTCTGAGATGCTGGTGTTCTAGTGAAACATGTAGCAGCAGTGAATTATTATTAGACTGGAAGCAGGACTCACCTATGGGGTTGACATCAAAGAAGTGAACAGGCGTGCGGATGACTGCACTGAACATGCTGTTGTGTAGAGCCTGAGCCGATCTCACCAGCCCATGAAAGATCACTAAACTGCGGGCATAGCCGAACACCACAGCAGCCGCTGTCAAACCTGAAAGAAAAAACAAAAGGACGACTTTAGATCCTAACTTTTAATATACGTTTCATAGCAAAACATACAGCAGGCACAATACTAAACATACGTATGGAAGGCTTACCTGAATAAATGCTCAGGTAAAAGGTGAGATTAAACTCTTGATCTGAGGTAGTAGTAGCATTAATCCCATGTTTAATGCTAACAGCAGTGGCTGTGTTGTTAAAAAACTCTTCTCTTGCCCTGTAAGTTGACAAGATAAACACATCAGACCAGGTACACAGTCAAAAACCAACAACAGCAGCTACAGTGGGTTTACTCTATTTCCAATTAAACCATGGATGAAACTCACCAGTATACCAGCCACCAGTCCTGCAGAATATATGCAGCCTATGAAAGGAAATAAAGTTCAATTATTCAACATGTTGAAACACACACACACACACACACACAAAAAACAGAGTACATTTATAATCAAACTAAAAACCACAACCCAAAGTATTGTTTTTTGTTCCATTCAGGTTTAATAGCACCTAATCTTATAATGAGCACTGAGAAATAACTTTACAATACACAATATATGTAATGGACTGTGGATTATCTCTAAAATTACAAAAAAAGATGAATTTACAGAATAGTGGTTTTAATGGACTGATCTTACTCCTCTGTGAGCGGACTTAATTAAAGGATTAAGTCAGGTGACGGAGGAATAGCACAGGGACCTTGATATATGAGAGAAAACAGGAAGAATTGAAGAATAGAAGGTGAAAGAGGAAGACAAAAAGATTTAAATGTCAAATACTGACAGGTTCAAAAAGGAAAAAATATGAAGTGATAAAACAGAATGAACAGAAGGAAGGAGCAGAAAATTACACTATTCCACTGTTTAAGCCGATATCTTTAGTGACTCTTAGCTTTAATAGTAAGGCTATATGGGAGAGTGGGCAGATCTCAGTTTTAAATAAAGTCCATATTCAAGAACTAAAGTGAATATCAGAGGCTTACCTCAGCTGTGACGCTGAGCAGGACTATCACCAGTAATACCAGAAGGTTACAGCCGGCAGTGAAGTACTTGAGATAAATTTGGCCACTAACATTTCCTTCAACTCGAGTCTCCTCTGCCATGGTATGAACGGTTTCAACCTGCAAAACAAGAAACTGCTGATCAAAATCTTCATACTGCAGGCTAAAACTTCACAGAGTCAAAGAAACAGTTATACGATGTAACTGTCAGCTCTGTACTGACGTACGCCAACCAGAGTTTAACAAAAGGACCAGGCTGGAAGGGTACAGTCGGGGATGTAGTGCTTAACAAATACACCAGAACTCATGTTAATGAAAATATTATAAAGCAAACTAAACACATGCTCTGTAACTGAAAGAGTTGTCAGATAATCACTTACAGAAAGATGAGATTTTATTTCGGAAATGTACCTACAGGAAGCTGGTTAGTGCAGTTGCTCTCTGGCAGCAGGAGGCTGCTGTAAGAACAGTGTGAACTGTGTGAGCAATTGGTCCTCTGGCTGTGTAACGACAGTTTGTCGGGGTCAGCTGATTGAGACCATCGATCCTGCTCCTCGTCGCTTCTCAGCAGGGACACGATGTTGAGGCCCGAGCGCTGCAGCTCACTGACGGTGCCCTGAGCCATGATATGACCCTGAGAGACAAGCAGAACAAAAACAATGTGATCAAATGTATGGATGCCTGTCTAAACGTTTAAATGAGGAAGTCAGATTTTGATGGAAAGACAAGAACAGATGGGTGAAGACATATCAAACAAAAAGCATCGTCTTTGTAACTATGTTAATGGGAAAAAGAATTAATTGAAACAATTCCTCTGCAGGGCCACAAACCTCCTTGAGGACCAGAATCTGGTCAGCTGCCTTCAGATGCTGCTGCTGGTGGGTGACCAGGATACGACACTTGTTCTTCAGCAGACCACAGATACACCTGATACACAGACACACAGACAGTACAAGCTGTAAATAATGTGTAGCTCCTTCATTGCATACAAAGCAACAACTGACTGCTGGGCTGACAGCGCCGCAGCCCGACAGCAGAGACGCTCCGTGGTGGCTGCAGGATTTTAAAACTTAACTTTGAGCAGGATGAATATTTTAAATTTCTCCGGCTGTGTGGAAATCTGATGTTTTCACATCACAGATGACTAAGATTGGCATTGAAACATGAGGTAGAATAAAACACGAGACTCATGTAGCTGCGTTTCCACCGCAGGAGCTGTTGATATTAAGTTTAGTGCGGCGCTGAACTGAAAAACTGTTGTAGCTGTTATGCAGACCGGTTATAAGAGTCCAAATTCAAGACAGTGGTGTTCACAAAATAAAATAGTATGCAACATACTATTTATACAACTGTCCTTTTAATGTGCTGTTGATGGATATTCTCCCACCACGCAATGGAGAGCGCTACACACAGTTGGACAAAATTAAAATAAATTGAAGAAAAAGTATGAGTACAGCCGTAAAACCTTTTTTCTTTCTCTTTCTGAAGTTTAATTGGTCCATTCAAAAATGCTAAAGTATGTTGTTGTGTATACTTACTGCTAAAATAATATGCTTTAATATGACAATTGATTACTATGTAGTACACACTGTATAGAGTTAATGTGTGGACAGAAATGTGGGTCACTCACTGCTCAAACAGATGTTTCCCAACCTCAGCATCCACAGCACTTAAAGGGTCATCCAGGAGGTAGATGTCTGCATCCTGATACACCGCCCTGACAAAACACATATGCAAATATTAACTGATGACTCACACTGACTCAAGAAATACAGTAACTTGTGCATACCTGCAGAGTGTAAAAAATGCAGCCTAACATGTTGCTACCTGTTGGTGGGGGTTCCCTTGAAACTAGCAGCTAGCTCTACAATGAGACAGCAATTCCAAACATGCCAATTAATTTCTAGCCCTGTGCCTTCTGCCCAACACAGACATGACAGCTGTCACTGTGCTCTTACCTCGCCAGGTTGACACGAGCTTTCTGTCCCCCGCTGAGTGTGGCCCCTCTGTCCCCGATCAGTGTCAGGTCTCCATCTGGAAGCAGCTCCAGGTCCTGCACCCAAAGACAAAACAAAATAGTTGACTACAAATACAATATCTGTGCAAGCAAAAAGAAGGAATCGAAGTGTTCAACTCTGTTAATTATTAAAAGGGGAACTAGATTTTACTTATGCAAGGTTTTGGGGAGTACTACGACATATGTGAAAAAAGTTGTCTGAAAACATACATTGATACATTGCCTCAAGTGATGTCACTTGAGTCAGCGTCAGTTGGGGGTAGAGAGTACAAGTTGGAAAATGATAAAAAAATCTGGGTGTGGAGAAAGAAGTGAGATCTCTTATCAGATCTCCGCAGCCGCTTGTCACCTCTGTTGAGGTTAGCCGCTAGAAGCACAACACAACCAAATCACTGTCAGAACTTTAAGCAGCCGAGGTGCATTGTGGGTCATGTAGGCACCAGTATTTGAAAAGAAAAATGTGCTGCATTTTTTTTTTTGTCAAGTGCTAAACACTCTGCTGACTGAACTCAATTAGTCTGTCTTTGTATCACAGAGAGCTTTTTAAAACATTGAAAATTGATGTTCTGAGCAATGTCACATGGTACAACTTCTGCATGTCATTGCCAGGTCACCGCCCTGAAGACTGACTGGTTCTGTAATGCACTTTTTCAATTGTTTCCACCCAGTTTATTTTTAGCAACAGAAGCTAGGAGGAAGTCTATGTGCTTTTCAAGTCACTGCCAACCTCCGATAATGCTACCAGAGCGTGTGTCTAATACTGCGTTGTATCTCACCTTCTTTAGAGCGCAGGCCTTTAGCACACTCTCGTACTTCTGCGTGTTCAGCTCCCTCCCGAACAGGATGTTACTGCGAATAGTTCCAGGGAACACCCAGGGCTGCTGCGTGGCATAGGTCAGCTGACCCTTGACCTTCAGCGTCCCAGAGTCATGAGTTAGCTCTCCCAGGATGGCGCTCAACAGAGATGACTGTTGGGAACATGGATGTTACAGACATGTGAGCCGACTGGAAAATTAAGTCAACACTTTTTCTCTTGTTAGTGCTCAGACTGACAGTTTATTTAACTGAAACCATTTACCCATAAGCCTAAAGCTAAGCAAGTTTATACAAGTGTACTGACCTTTCCAGCCCCCACTGGGCCAATTACAGTCAGAAGTTGGTGTGACTTCACCGTGATAGAGACGTTCTGCAGAGATGGAGCATCTAAACTCTGACAGGAAACAACAAAACACAACTTTTAAGAAACAAAACAATGTACTGTACAGTATTTAAGTACATTAACGTCCTGTTAAATGACATTATAACACTAAAATATTCACTTCATCCCAGTAGCAGGTCAACTTCTCAATCTCAATGGAGTTTTCCTTCTTTTCTTCCAGAGGTAGCACAAAGTTTCTTCTTTCAACCTCTTCAAGCAGAAGGAAATTCTAGGAGGGGATTAATGACACATGCTGTTACACTGTGAACAATATCATGAAAACCCAGACATTGTTATATTTGCAGTTTTTTTAGCCACCTCTAGTGCTAAATTACTACAATTCTCACAAACATTAACCCTGGAAAAACCTAACATATTGGTATTTCAACATGCTCCTCCTGGACGTCCTTACGTAACGTGTAACTAAACATTCACCAAGCACTGCTTAAAATCTTCAGTGGCAGAGAAGTTTCTAACCAGCCACTCTCTCTGGTGTCTCTGCAGAGTCATTCAAAAAGCTCAGACACAGATTTTAACATCCCTGCTTACATGTGAGGTTTAGTTTCGCCAAGTAAGGACTCTCTTATCTCTCCCTACACACTAAAATATGTTCTGTGGCTGATTCAAGAATGTAGTTATGTCATTGAAGAAGTATTTCTAAGGTAAAGTACAAATCACAGCTGTTGATGAAGCAATAAATAATGTTTTCTCATAGCACTATAGATATATATCTAGGTATTAGACTTCATAGCCTTTAGTCATTGGAGATAATTAGTTAATTCAAGAATCTGAAGATGAAATTAACATGGATGGTAAACATGGCTCAATCAATGTTTGACACATTTCTTGCGCAAGATGATCAGTGGTTTAATTACACATAGACCAGCGTCAATCCCTGTCAAAATGTCACTAAATTAAAACACTGATCTACAATCATGTTTTAATCTATTTTCAAGACACTGAAACACAGATTATTAGTGGATACAAGTGGGTGATTCTGGGCTCTAAACTCACAAAAAGGGACATTGTTTTGTAGTATTTGCTTAGTTTTTTCCTGCAAGATGCACACTGACTCAGTTTGTGATTGTGTAATTTTCTTGGAACTTCTGTTTCACAATGAGAACTATTCAACACAAAGCTTTGGGAATTGCTTCAGTAATGGCTTGGAACTAGGGAAAGACACATGAGCTCAACTACCCTTTACATTCAAAAGATGTTTGCCACATAAGTTAACTTTTACAATAATTCAATATAAAAAGCTGCTGTGAATTCATAAAATAAAACAGAATTACCGTAATCCTGCGAATGCTGACGGCCGTCTCTGACACCTTTTCGATGGCAAGTGGGAAGAACAGGGTGACTGTAAGCTTGATTGTGCCATAGAGGGAAACTGTGACAAACACGCTGCTGGCAGTGATGATGTTGCCCAGGAGAACGTAGACGGTGAAGGTAACAAAGACAATGATCTTGCTGCTGGCGAAGAAGGAGGCCATGTTGAGTCCTCGTAGGTAGGAGCTCTTCAGTATCTGACTGATTTCTTTCCTGGGAAAAGAAAACATATGGAGAAGAGTGAGCTTGGTGATGTAAAGTTTTAATCGTGAGGAAGAATTCAGTGACACATAACCACTAGTGCTGGTAGGGAATTTTGTGCTGTCACGTGTTAAAATGTGCACAGAAAAAATGTAAATCTAAACAACATTTTTTAAGTGCTGAAAAATACTTCACAACAATATTTTGTGCAACTGCAGATCTTCATCAGGCTGAGACAGCACTATTGTGTTTATGAAGCAACTGTTATGATCAGTCAGTTAATCCTTCATGCATGCTTTAATCTGTAATCCTAATGTTCAGGCTTTCTGGTATGCAGAATATTTGTAATACAGCATCTGGATTGGGGTGCAGCAGCTATTCCTAAATCCATGTTTGTTGTGAAGTTTTGATGGTGCATTCCAAACTATGTAGTAGTTACTGAGAACTTAAGAAACCAGTAAAAACTTTAATATCGTGTAAATTAGTTGCTAGGAAACATTTATTGCCACACAATCAACATAACTGCCAAAGATATCAGTTTTAATAATTACGCTTAAAAATACATTCAATGTAAATGTAGGCATTACTTTGTTTTACTTTTAAATGCATAAATGGAGAAATATGTCTTTCAGAATTAGTAGTAAGTGTTGGATGGATGTCCTTGTCAATAAGCTATGAATCTGTGTCAGAGCAAAGGCTTCTACCGAATGTACAGCTGTGTGAAACATTGTTCCTCTGTTTTTAAGTGAGATCAGACGTTCTGTGCATACCACTGATATATAGATATTGAGTGTCCGCAGGCTACACCTCACAAATTCCTCACTGTTAAAGTAAGTGAAGTAAAGAGCAGCAAAGAAGATTCAGCAGATTTTAGAAACCTGATAAGCCATTTTACCATAAATGAATATACACTGTTAGCCAGTCTATGTCAGATTACTTCGGTCCATGATTTCTAGTTTGTTTGTTGAGTGGATGTGTAAATGAAGAGGTCTTGAAAAGTGATACTTTGCCCCAAATCTATTATTCATTATCAAACGCTCTCCACGTCTAGATTGAAGGGTTGGCTGTAAAAAGCTGTAAAAGGTTTTCTTTCATCAACCTTGGCAACAAAAAGCTACATAAAACATTACAACATCTGCAGCTTAATCCACTGTCCAACCGTACATACGTGTTTAATGTCACTGAGCTAAAAGCTAATACTTCAGTCTGAGCTTTGAGGAGAGTTTTCTTTGGAGTATCCCTTTAAGAGGTTTCTTGAAAAGATATCTGTGGTGTGTTAACAATAGGAGATTATGTATTAACTTAACTACAGGCCAAGAGTGTAAAGGATTATTATTAACAAAGAAAAGAAAAATGTCAGGAAAGTTTAACAAAAAAAGAACACCCAAGCTGCTGTCATGGAGCATAAAACAAAGCAATAAGTAATGCTCCACGTGCTTCATGATAAAAAGTTATAGCTTTAATCATAATAATCCTCTTGTGCTCTCAACAGCCACATGATTCTAAAAACCTTCCTTTGGCACAATTTAAATATCAAACTGAAGATTTTGTTGTGTTCCTCATAAGAAAAACAAAACAGGATTTAGATAAATCAGTGTGTTGTTTGAGCTGTTTATCTTTGCCTCTTGATGCCATAAAGCCTTTAGTCATTGTTAATAAAGAGAAGCAACATAAACCTTCCACCTGCTACTTTAGAGTTAGTATGACTTCTCATGCTTACTATAGCAGACACAGTGTTAGTTAAAAGACGTATATTACTGAGCTGGGATTAAATGGATGCACAACAAAAATGATTGTGGTCTATACCATCAAGATAAGCATGTGGAGTCCCACAAGGCTATGTGTTAAGACCTGTTTGAGCCAGACTTCACGTGCTGACAGTGATAAATACATTACGAGGGAACGTCTGATTGATCTCTATAGCTATGCAGATACACAATTGTTTATTTCTATTATACCCAAAGGCATTAGCCTTTAGATGATACAGTGGCTAATAAATATATCACATAATCCCCATTACCAACTATTAAGCATGCTTTTAGATTCTAGTATTAATCTTGAAGAAATATCACCTTTTCTCAGATATGCTGACGCTGCCAAAATACATTCAAGAGGTCAAAAAATATGTAAAAAAAATAAATGAAGAGTTCGGGGGGTTTTGGACTGTTGGTTGACCAAAATAACCAATTTGAAGACTTTGGGAAACTGCAATGAACATTTTTCAGAATTTGAAATTTTATAGACTCAAGAATTAATTAATTGTGAAAATAATCAGCTGATTAATAAAAATGTATATTTTAGGCCTTTAGGGGAAGAGTTGCGTGCAAATGACAAAAAATCTAAACTGAACCTGATATTTTATGACCAAATCAACACACACTCTGTTTTCAATACCATTTTCCAATCCTACAATTCAAACTAAGCTAATGTTGTTAATGCACCTCCATTCTCTAAAAATAAGACTTGAGTGAAACAGTATAAAATATATAAAGTCACCAACTATGAATTCTTATTTGAATACCTCTTGTTCAGGAGTCTAGATTGTGACTGGGAAGTTAAAATTGAGGTCTTTTTTAATTGATTCATAGATATTATTTTACAATCTCAGTGAAGAGGGTAAAACTAAATGTTTAAACATGTGGGTAAAGTACAAATGAATGCCACATTCTATCCCTGCAAATAATATTAGCTTCATCCATACCTTCTCACTTCATTAACCAGAGCTGAGAATGGTTTCTCCCAGGCATACATCTTGATGATCCTGATGCCAGACACCACTTCGTTCATGACGCGGATTCTATTGTCAGTAAGGACGGCCGTTTTACTCCTGCAAAAAATAAAACAGTGAAAAACATTAGTTTTCATAATGTTAGGAAAAAAACTACAGTATTAACACAAATGGCCAGATAAGAAACATAAAGAGAAATTTGTTTAAAAAAAAAAACACAACCATGTACTTTGTTTTTCTAGTTGCCTACCTGAAGATGCCAAAGAGCTTTCCAAACCATGTCTGTACAGCCATCATGAGGGCAATGCCTGCCACACCTGCCAGACACGAGGGGCCGATCTCATACCAAAGTAAAAGGATGATCACCACGGCTTGAAGAGGTCCCACCCACAAGTAATGCAGATTGAGTGTAATCTATAGAGACAATAGTTAATCATGAGCACAGTTTGAACAATACTCTATTTCGTTATTTACATCAGCCAATCAAAACAAGCGTTACCCTACCTCATCAAAACGATTGACATCATTTGAAAGGAGGTTCACAATTTGTCCGGTGGTTGTTCGGCCCATGGATTCGCTGCTGAGACCGAGAGCCTGACGAGAGAAATTTCACCGGTCTTTGAGTTCACAGCACATTTCTATGAGTGACTGCATCTGGGCTGCAAATCTGCTGATTCTTTACTGACCTTCCTGTATATCATGTGACAAACGGCCACTCTAATCTTCATGCCTGTTCTTTGGACGTGGTAGTAGTAGAGATGTTGGAGGATGGTCAGTCCAAAGGCGGAGAGGGACATTGCCGCAGCGTAACCATACGCCATGCTGAGACTTCTCTCATCTTCTGGGTCATAACTCTCAAAGTACTGGATTATCTTCCACAGAAGAAGTGGCTGGATCACTTTAATTACCTCCTTTATGACAAAGTGACACAAAATACACAGATTAGATGTTTTACTATCAGTTTACACAGAATTCTGACAAAAAGTAGAAACTTTTTATTAGCTCTTCCAACTTCTGGCTTCCAGTCAGTTAACAAATATAATATACTAATATTTTACTGATCATCACTATATTGATGGACTGTAAACTAATTTTAAACAGCCAGGACATACCAGTGAAAATACAAACAACCCAGCCACTGCGTAGGACTTCCCATAGCACCTAATAAGGACTCTTGTGAGTTTTGGCTTCCGAAGTTCCTTTGTAGCCTTTCTAACTTCATGGTCCCAGAATCTGCAATAAAGAACACGCAACATGCATATTTATTCTGCACTGGTGTAGGAACTAACCATTATGTTAAATTTCCATTAATCTGTTGATCTTTGTCTCGACTGGTTGTTTTGCTCCATAAAATGTCAAATTGATGCAAAATCACTGTTTCCTAAAACTCAAGGGAATGTCCTCAAATGTCTTGTTTTGTTCACAACCCGAAAGGTGTTCAGTTTACTGTCATAGGGGACTAAAGAAACCAGGAAATATTCATATTTGAGAGGCTGAAATCAGATAATTTGGACTTTTTTCTTAAAAAAAAAATATATATATATATATATATATATCATTACTGAAACTGTCCAGAACAACCTTAACAACAACAACAACAACAACAACAACAACAGGTGTCTCTCCTAACCAACACCTTCCCAACTGGTTTTACTAGACTTTTGACAGTGATCTAGGATTGTATCACAGTAATGTAGTACCTCTGTAGTTCCTCTCCCAGTATTTCAGACTGATCCTCGGGCAGAACGCTGTACATGTCACTTTCCTCCAGCCTCTGTTTCTGGCCCAGGTGCAGCAGCGGGTTTAACCAGCTGAAACAGACATTATTATACATGTTAGTACAGCAGTTAGAAAGCAGGGAAGTCAAACAGAACATGAATATACCAACAATAATCAATGTGATCCACTCAGAAATCCGACAGGTTACATTACTGCTTCTTTTCATGCCAGTAGTAGGGAAAGGGGACTTGTAAAACCTCAAGTTAATAAACCAACAAAGGTTAATAAACCTCCTCGGATTCTTAAAATGTAAAATATAACACCTCAGACGCACAGATGTAACATTTATTGACTGCAGGTGACATAAGTGTCATCACTGGCACGCAGCAGCAGGTCGGTTTGTGTGCAGGTCTAGCGGGGCCGGTTGGACTGGAACTTACGGCAGCGGCCGCAAAACGCTTTACGGGGATCGCAACGCCTTCTTGATTTAAAGAGGTGGAAGAAAATGTAACAAGTATACACGGTGGGCCTGTATCTCAGTAAGAATCATGATACATGATTTGACCTATGACCTCAAATATGCAGACAGTGCACTGTGTCTTTGGGATTACCTTGAAGAGATATATAGGTAGTGGAAAGGTAACAGCAGTCTTTTATATGGTCTTCTTCCTGAGAAAATCTCATTTGATTACTCATTACAGATAATTGTTTAAAAAGTTAAAAAAGTTGATCAATCCTAAGGACTTATTTTATAAGGTTTAACCTATTTAGATGGCTTAACATTTATTTTTGTTGTAATATTTATGTAAAACCTTTTTTTAAATTAACAGAAATAAAATCTAGGTTAATAAACGATGGAATTGTTGTTATGCTTTCTGTACAGATAACAAACACCTGATTATCGTTGAACTTTCTGCTCCAAGTAACCTCTAAAATATACGAGGGAGGGGGAAGGGGCTGTGCTTTCTTGTCCTGTAGCACTAACACAGTGATATCCTAACTAGTATTACCACGATCTACCATCTACTACAATTGGGTTAGCAGATAATACACAGATGAGCTAAGTAAGAGTTCCCAGTGGAGTGGTCTTTGGGTCGTCCTGAAACTGGCTGCGATACAGTTACTGCAGCCAAAGCTCCAAGATTGGTTAGATTTTGTAGTTACTGCAATTTCTACATCATTTTTTCTCAAAAGACAGAACGAGAGTGAACTTGAGACGATGTATCACAGGATAAAAACAGACAAATTCAGTAACTCAGTTCTGACCAAGAAATGCAAATTCAACCAATTCCTGTGACTGCCACCAAAACTTTAACCCAAATCTGACCAATTATTACAGTTTAACCAATCATAGCTAACCCTCTGTGCAAAATGTACAGCGATACGTCTCCAAACTACTACAAACATCACAATATTGTAGAAAAGTGGCTGTTAAACCCTACAAAAGCCTGAAGGGACAGGAGGAAGATACTCCTAGCGAGGAAGCACAACTGTAAACAACTCAAACTTTAGAGGAAAAAGTCACCAGCCAACACTAGTAAACTTCTACTCAACCTGAAACCACCAAGTACAAACTATAATGAGTTAATTATCTACTTAGATAATAGGTAACACTGTTTACAGTGAAACCCACTCTGCTGATAGAGTACACTTATGTAACCTCAATATTTAATACACTAACTATAAATTACTGTGGTAACAAACAGTAAAAACACACATCTGTCAACACATGTGGAAAATGTGACTTTCCAGCGGTTTTTACATTCAAACAACTTCATATAAACTCTTTTTTCCCCCAGCAGAATATTGATTAAGGACTTTAAGACCTCATCAATGGACTCTGACAGCAGTGTCACCATTTGGATCATTTTGTACCAGGAAATTAATCGCTGCTCATTCAAAGTCACCAGTGCTGCGAAATTTTAAATATTTGATCCTGTAAATCAAACTCTCTTACCATAAAAATAACCTTGAAAGAAAGCCGGCAGTAGCCAGCGGATTATGCCTGTCGTCTTTCTTGTTCATCGCCATTGACTCAAGGCTGATTGAGCCTCCGCTTCAATGGAGACACAACTGTCCAGAGACGGAGACACGACTTCATTCACTACATGTGTAGTTGGCTAACATCATGTAAAGCTCAGACTCGGTACATAAACACGACCGACTACACGAAGATTAAAAAAGGACAAATGAAAGTGAAAGTGTCGATGGGATGTTGGACTCGCAGGGTGGACAAACAAACGCAAGACTTCATAATAAACAAGTTGGTTTTGGTTAACTAGTTTTAAAAGTGGACCTTTAGTATCCTGGATGAAGGTAAATCCACCTGGGTTTTATTCATTTAACAGTATGTTAAGTATATTCTGCTTATTTTAAAGGCTTTTTTCAAACGTATTATTTGAAAGCTGCCTTTTAAGAAGCAAAGTTATTAGTATCACACTCATTTTTTAATATTACCATTACTACTACTATTACTATCAGAATTTAGATGCATTTATATAAAATGTATTTTGTCTTTTGCTCTATAAATGCAGTGTAACCATCGATCACTGTTACTGATCACTGAATAAAGCCTGTTTTTAAATCAACAGCCACCTGTGTAAATACTGTAAACAAAACCGTCATCGACGCAACCGCATTTATAAAAACAACAAGTGGGGGTCAACACTTTGTGAATCTCATATTTACGAGCAGCACTTGAAGGAGGCATCAGCGCAACATGTTTTTCCACGCCTATCCTGAGTTCACAAGGCACGTGGAGTGTGGTCCAAGTCCGGGTCCAGCAGATCAAATATAGGTGCAGGTATAGTTTATAACGAGCAGTGAGGGGATTCTTGTTTGTTTACCCTCAGATTGAGTTCAGGGGACAACTGGATTACATCTTCTGTCATAAATAAATTAAATCTGACACTTAGATTCAACCTTAAACCAGACTGTAATCAGATGAATCTATGTATAAATGATTATAAATTATAAAATACGTATTTATGAATGTTCTCTCATAAACATGTTGCTTATGGCAGCCACCACAATACTGACAATATCCTGGCCTCAATGTGTTTCACTCCGGCCTTAACTATAGTCCAAATAATACTGATATTGTAATTCTTTTGCTAAAAAGCGTTATTATTTGAGCTAACTGAGGTCTATACACCATAAATAAAGAGTAGAACTAGTTATAATGACAAGAAATGAACACAACAGGAGGGTTAAAGACGCTTTTGTTTCAGGCAGAACACTATTATTCTAAAATTATTTTGGTTTTATGTACTGTGTTTATTTGAATACCTGTGAATATTAGAATATTAAACAATGTTTGATGGAAAACGTTTTAATTTGTATTTGTCCTGTGTGTTAAGACTGGAGTTTATAAAGGGAATTATGAAAAACACTGGCTGTTATTATAATACTGTATTATGTCTGTTAGGAATAAGGAAGTGTGTTATTTAAACTAATTTCTAAATAAATAGTGTCATGTATAAATGTATTTTCCTTTTTATTAGGGGAACATTTGCAGTTCCACAAAGCCACCAGTAGAGGGAACTGAGAGCCCATTTGTAAATGTAAATGCTACAGTATACACCACATTTAGACTTTACACTATATTTGTTTACATGGTTTTAATGCTGTTCATGGCCTGAAACTCTGCAGTTTGGTCGCGATGTGATGGGATCAGTGTCAACAGGTTCAAACCAACACTTCAACAAACTGAACAGGAGTTAAACAACAGTTAAATCTTATCTTACAGGATCTGCCTGTAATATTTAAAAGCACACATACACACACTTCAGGGGACACAAACACAATCCAATACTATTTTTAAATTGTTGCGTTTACCTGAAGAACTCGTCACTGAGCACGCCGAGCTCTGGAGTGCAAAGGGCTCCTCAATCTGTTTCTATTGGCTGTCCATCTGCATGTCAGCACTCACTGCTGCATCCTGGGCCCCAGCTGCGGCTGTGTCACATCTTGTTTACACCAGGGACCAAGGCTATGTTTGACCTAGTTGTTAAAAAGCCCAAGAGGCACAGTCAAAAGCACACTACAACATAAAACAGACACAGGGAAAAGAAACAAGCCCATTTTTCTAATAGACATTTGTTAGAATTAGCTGTACTGAACATAACGAGCCAACGTCCGTAGCTCCTCCAGTAACTAACAATGTGAAGAAAGGTGAGTGATGAGCTACTACACTTGAGAAATATGGTTTTAAAATAAAAGAGCAATTTGTTCAAGTTTCTTTTTTTTTTATTCATACAGAGCAAATAGTGGAAGACACAAGCTGAGAACTGATTCTGATGGACATCATGAAACAAGATTTAAGGTGATTTTAATCTCAATGTAGGAGACAAGTGTTTTTCTTTCAGGTGAGGATGTTTTATTAGGTTGTAATTTGGTCATATACACGACTGTATTAAGGATCAGTTTACTTTTAACCACGACTGCAAGTTATCCAAACAGTTTAGCTTCATCAGACGCTGCATTTGAACAAAACATTGTGGAAGAGTTAAATTAAAATAAAGAATACTGTTTTTGTATATTCAAAATTCACTTTTAACAGAGAACGAGCATGCATGATATTTTTTTCCCCGGTAACTATCCATCTTCAAGGACGGAATTTGTTCTCTAGCCTTAACCACCACAACATAATGCCCAACTCCAACCTGAACCGTAAGACCAAATCATAACCGTCAAAACAGTCAATATCATCTCTCCCAATGTATTCAATTGAAAGCGGTCCTCACAAACATAGGTGTACAGGTACACACATACACACACTAGAGCTACTGAAGAGCACCTTGACAGTAATTGATGAGATACAATAACAGTGTCTTTTAATTCTGATGTAAAGTGGTTTCCAGTGCTTAGAAGAGAAGGTGTGTGGAGTCCAGGCAAAGAAGTGACCCATTTATCCTCACAGATGTGTGAAGTCCCACCTTCAACTTGCAACAGGTAACGGGGCAGTAAGGCAGCTACTGTCATTGGCTGCTTGAGTCCTGAGTCTCGTTCTTCGGTAAACTGAGCAGCTCCTCGATCCTTTGCATGTCCTTAACGGTTTCCGCCGCAACAGACCTGGCGTTCAGATCTCCAATCAACTCATCAGTCAGCTGCAGACGGGCCGCCCTTAGTGTTTGAAAGAAGGAGAGCGAGTGGTAAACAATAAGACATCAGGATGACGACCTAGAACAATGTCAATTTGGGTTTACTTTCTTTAATTGTCTGTGAAATACCCAACAAAAGTGTAAAAAGAATAAAATTAAAATCTCACCATTCCCGAAGTTTGAGCTCGTAGAGTTCCCGGCGCTCTCTCCTCCTCTTCTCTCTGGCAGGTTCTCCTGACAGCAACTGCATGCTGATGATCAAAGCACCAGTGGGAATCCTGAGGAGAAGCAGATTTATAATCTGTTCAATTTCTTTATAGAGAACGTTTGAATGAGAACAGATAGAAAATACACTTTTATACTTCTATTGTCTAAGCACAGTTGTCAATACTTGCACAACAGACGAAAACATCAGCTGCTGTCAGTTTATCAGCTTAAAAGTAACGTATGAAGCCATTCTGGTCAACACTTTATCAGACACATCAACACTGGAGAACCTGGGTATGTAATAGATTTCTAAATCACCTCCTATTGCTTAATCTCTTATGTAACAGCGCCGTCAGTTGCAGGTTCTGTCAAAGCAGCTACTTTCAATGCATAACCTTGCCAAGCTGTCAGTCATTTGCACCATTGTAACAAATTAGTGTCCAACTTCCTCTCAGCGGTCTGTTACAAAGTCACGCCCTCCCTCTGTTGCCCCCCCCGGCCCCACCCAAACCACTCGCACCTCTGCCACGTGCCCGGACGAGGGGACGTTTCTGGGGTGAGATCTGGAGCGTGATGTGCTTTCCGATTAGATGCCTGCTTTCATTTCACCCCCTTCTGCCCCGACTGCACCTGGCATAGCCAAGGCCGGGGCTGTTTGCACACATTAAATGCTCCAGGTGGCTGGTCCCTCAGGCAGACAGTGGGAGGAGGAGGAGGAGGCGGCACTGCTAGTGTGAAGCCAACAGGAGAACAGACCAGGACTGAGCCAACACAGAGCTGATGATCACAGAGACAATCCAAACCAGCCCCTCCAGTCTGTTCCACCATCAAACACCTCACACTCAATCTCCATTATACGATCAAATTCAAATCTGCTCTTGGCTCTGTGCACTCGGCTGAAAGTGGCCAGAGGAACGAGTGAAAAGTGGGACAGAGTGAGCAGAGAGGGTTGAGGAGAGAGAGGGGAGACGGAGTGAAGCATAAGTCCAGATCAGACCATGGTAGATGGAGATGAGAGGCTGGAATAACAGAGATGGTATAAATGGAGAGGGGCAGCTGCTGCCTTGGCCTGCCTCCTTGCTCTAGTACCCAAAACATGGCCCTCTGCAGTGCACATGAGTCCCCCTGGCACCGTGAACAGAGCTGGAGGTGGGGGTGAACGGTGGAAGGGGGAGTTCAGCTGGGCGACAGAGGGTTGCTGGGAGGGGCGCAGCTGGCTGCCAGAGTGCTCGCTGCTCTCAAGCACACGAGCATGAACGTGGACACACACACACGAGCAAAGACGCACATCTACTGACAATGTAACGATGATTGAAAGGTTTCAGGGTAGAAAGTACGTTAGCTCCCGTATAAAGCGGATGAGTTGCAGTGTTAGGGTGATCAAAAGGATGTGAATGGACACTTGTGGGAGCAAAAGCCAAACTTACCCCAGCACTGCACCGATGATTCCTCCCGCCAACAGCCCCCGCAGGCCCAGGTTGAGTCTGAAAACGCCTCCAGTCACAGCTGCTCACACACACACACACACACACACACAGTTTTATTGTAAACTCAGTGTGCTGGCATGTGTACTGGATGTGTGATTTGTCATCAGGTTAAACAAGGATTATAAAAGTTCCAATATTATTACTCATCAACATAAAAAAAAAAAAAAAATAAAAAAAAATATCACATTTTCTGGACTTGGAGTGAATTTCTGGAGTTCTCTTATTTTATTAATAATTATTATTATTATTCACTTTATTTAGACAGCTGCAGTAGAGAGTTGACGGGAAAGGAGGGGGGAGAAAAATGAGCAATGATATGCAACAAGAGGCCCTTGTCCAGACACGAACTGTTGTAACCCCTACGTGACCCCGTAGCCTGGTCTTACAAGGAAGGAATAATGTGACTATTTCTGCTTAAGATAAATATTAGAGGGATCATTTAGTTTCTGTCAGCTCTGAGGGTGTCAACATAATGACCCACAGTTGATTCATTCAACAAAGGTTGGACCCATATTAGAATTTACAGAAGCATTTAGAAGACTTTCATTAATTATTATTTTTCTATTCTGCCAACTGGAATCAGTACAAACGCTGAGTTTGTATAAAACAACTGTGAGGATGTGAAGCTGCCTTGTTGTGACACAGCAAGCAGACTCAGTTGGCTTTCACTGGATAAATAAAAGGTATAAAAAATACGTTTGATCAGGCACCACTGAAGCCCATGTGACTCACCTCCAGCTGCAGCATAATTGCTGAGGGTATACTCGTCTCGGTACACAGACAGTCCTGTGCTGACTGAACTAGAGAGGGAAGGGAACAGATGAGGAGATTAAAGGAGGATGATCACTGGAAATAATCATAGGAAAAATATTCTCCTCAGTATCAAGATGTTGCCACAGTGTCTGTAACATTATACCCATCAGATGAACATGTTCAGTGTTTTTGAAACAACTTCATTTATCTGAGCTGGTTGGAGATTAATCAATTACAATTGTTTAGCTCTGGAAAGAAGTAAACAGTCCGATTTCACTGCAGTTGATCGTTCATTTAGAACAATGCTGAAGTAAGTAAACAACAATGTACAGTAAGTGGGTCATTATTATTGATTTTCTTGATTTTAAATTCAATAAATGTTGCCATAGCAACAGTCCATTAATCAGACATAACAGAACTGATTGATCAATCAACAAAAATCAATTAAACAAAGCTGTTTAATAATTAAACTTGTGTGTTAAACTCCTCCCTTGTAAAAGTTCCCTCACATACAATAACATTTCCTCCTGTTCACTGTCTCATATATAACTCTAAACCTAATGAAAGTGTCTGATAGAATCAATTTGTTTGCTTACTTGTACAAGGTGACAAAAGCAGCGACTCTCCAGCCCCACCTCCATCCATATCTCACAAAACCTCGGATGGCTGCATTATGGGCCGACCGCTGGATTAGACAAAAAAAGGACATTATCTCACCTATTTTATATACATATATACACACATCTATTATTTAACAAGAAATCACAATACTAACTGAGGAGTTTCCTACTCAAAAAGTTAACTTTGGGACGAATTAGTTCAAAATCCTCTGACAGCATTTAGTTATTCAACAGTAAGGTTAATGGCACACTCATTCACTCACTCACCACTGCGTCCAGTCTGCTGGTATAGACTGCCGCCTGGCTGGACCGGATGTACCCCTGCCTGGCATGGTGAGCTGCCGGCAGGCCTCCGTAGATCGTGCCTGCTAGTGCAGCAGCTAAACCGCTCTTTAACACGTTGGTCAGCTCCTCTGGGTAACTCTGTGTCACACTGCAGGGAGACGAGAGAGAGACACTTTCTTTAGAGACAACAACTCATCTTTAGACACGACTTAAAGTGGATTAAACGATGACGTGAGAGAACTTGTGTGCAGATATAGTCCCATTCAGAGTTTAATATATACATTTTACAATTCATTAATTGTTGGCTTGATTCCAAACAGACAAAATATATATATATATATA